TTGTCCCAAATCTACCCCATTAACTTTTTGTCCAATTTTTTAATATTATTTTTTATTTTTTCGAATTTTTTTTATTTTTTTTATCTTTTCTTTTTCCTTTCCTTTTTTTTTTTTTGTTTCACCTTCAACCTCTTGGCCGGTCATTTGGACCCCCAGAAGGCAGGTGGGCGGAGGTCGGGGCCTCGCCAATAGCCGAACGGCGAGGTTCGCCGTGGCTGAGGCTCGGCCGCTAGGGCATTGGCCGACTAAGGCTCGGGCTTTGAGCGAGCTAAACCTCGCCGTGGTTGGCGAGGCTCGAGCCCCGAACCTCGCCGGCGTTGGGCGAGGCCGGCCTCGCCCAACGCCGAGAGGCCGAGCTCGCCACGGCGAGGCTCGGCCCGCCGGCTATTGGCGAGGTCGGCCTCGAGCGCCCGAGGCCGAGGCCCCCCGCCTTTGGCCGAGCCTCAGCCCGGTCGCCGACGGCGGCCGCCGAGGTTGAAGGTGAAACAACAAAAAAAGAAAAGGAAAGGAAAAAGAAAAGATATAAAAATAAAAAAAATTTTGAAAAAATAAAAATTAATATTAAAAAATTGGACGAAAAGTTAATGGGGTAGATTTGGGACAAAAGTGAAAGTTTGGGATTTTTTATGAGATAAAAAAAAGTTTGGGATATAATTGGGACAAAGGCTAAAGTTGAGGGTTTTTTAGGGAATTTGGTCGAATTCGGTTGCACTTTCGTGATAAGTTTTAGGATTGCCAATGCACTTATCCCCAATAAAAAAAAAAACTTATTTAGTCCGACTGGATTTGTATATAAAGATAGACCAACTTCGATTATGATGACCATATCTTACACATAATCAAATCTTGTATTGCTTGAATTGAGATGTTCAAGCTATTAATAGAAAAAGGAAAAAAAAATACCGATGGGTTGGGTCAAATGAAGTTTTTTGACCTGCCTATATCCTGGTAGACAATTATTAATTTTGGGATTGCAATTACAAGATGGTTTTTTTTTTTGTTTGTCTCGTTCAGAAAATGGACATATTGCTGCATAGATGAAGAAATTGCAGTATATATGCTTTAGCCTTTAGGCACGTGAGCTGAAGAAGTCTTGAGTGACATGAACTTGCTGCGCGACTGAGATACTTGATGTTTCCTAACTTGGATAAACAACATAAGGTGTAATTCAGTATAAAATATATGATGGATTTGTTTCTAGAAAAATTTCATGATAAAAGAAAATGCATTTTGGGAAATCATTTTTCTGGAAAATGTTTTCCCCCTTTTAGGTTAGAGAATTCATTTTTCATAACTTCTAAGCATGCACATTTTCTTGAATCATGATTGGTATTCCGTTGTATGATCATTTTCAGCAAACCAAACGTGTGAAAGTCCAGAAAATAAATTTGCGGAAAATTTTTTCACTCAATCAAACACACCCTTAAATTAGTAAGAAGAAGATGAAGCATACGTAGAGTCACAATAACATGGCAAAGAGTAAGGTATAATGAGGCATCGTGCTAAGGTTGATCGTGGCAGGTTAGAGTTGCAAAGTTGATGAGCAGAAAGTAACTAGAGAGAACCTACAAATGCCATGCAGTGTTGATGTGGTCTGGAGATTATTGACAGATGCACTTATGACAAGCTATTTTGTAGATAAATATCTCTATTAACCACAATTGAATGTCAAACTCCTCAAGAAATCTTGTCAAATAATGTTGCTGACTGTTATGATATGAAAAAAATTGATTAAGCTTCTGTTCGAGTGAGTGATGATAAGCTTGATGAAAGGGCCAGATGATCCGTACTCATAGACTATGTGAGGTATAGTGTGGCTATAAGCTATGATGACTACAGTTTGAGAAAGTTGTGGGGGGCCATGGGAAAATACCAAGGAAGATTGCGAAGTGCTTGTAACTTGACTGTGAATATCGAGTCCAATTAGTGTTCATTAAAAATATATCTTGAATTTGAGTCAAATTAGAAAATTAGTATTGTGAAGATTTTCTCTTGCCCTATATAAGCGGGAGTAATTTTGGGTTTTCTATTTTATGTCAGATGCAGATTACATTGAGTCTAAGCAGTGTTGAGGGGATTGAGAGAGTTTTTCGTGAGGTAAGAAGCAAATTTCTCGAGGATTCGTATGAGGGCCTTGCCTCTGAGTTAATATAAGTGTACTCGGGATTGTAATATATCTGAGCGTCGTTCTAAATCTTGTTAGGACAAAACTTGCCCCGCCCTATGGTGAGAAGCGATCCTATGATTGGCACGTGTTCGTCGGAAGGTGCTTATTATCACCGGTGATGAGGTAGGGGTCGAGTTTCATTTGAAATATAGTGATCTGTTTAGGGCAATGCTTAGAGACGAGTGATGCTATGGGTTTTTTTTTTTCCTCGAGAAAATGCACCCAATCTATGATAGACTTATGACACGAGAGATTGAAAAGAGTATGAACGTGACTCACCAAAAAATCGCCACCCATTTTGGTTGTACTTACAAAATGCCATCTGGCGTTCGTATCGGATTCTTTTCCACACAAAATCTCGTGTTGCGTATCACGGCTCGTGACAGAATGGTGCTTGTATCATGTCTGTACCGTAATCAAGTATCCTATTCATAACGCATGTTCGAAATCTCCGGTACCTTCAAAGTATAGATGGGGGCAACCTTCTTTGAGAACAACCGAGAAGTTACCTAGTTTAAACGAGGTTTATCTACATTTGTGAAAACTTAGGGAAAGACTTCCTGCAAAGCTATAGCATTGGAAAAATTATAACCGGGTGGATCCATGATTGTGTACACTCGGATGAGTTTGGTTTGGGTACCCCCTATTCAAGAACCTAAGTTGGGTATAAGCTGATTTCGAGAATCAGTGGGACTTACCGGGTTGAAATAGGAAATTTTCGTGCTCATTTCACTAATCCTTATGCCATTTTTCGAAAAGAAGTAAAACTTGTATAATAAGAGAAAATCGGGGAAAATCCCAAAATGCCCCCGAGATCGGAAAGCCTTTTATGAAACGGCCTACCCATAGCGGCATTCGTCTCAAAACACCCCCTCGAAGTGGACCGCAAGGTCCCGAGTGACCTCTCTACCTCACCGCCGGTGATAAAAAGCTATCCCGGCGATCACGTGATGGTTACGTGCTCTTTTTTTTGTGCACAAAATGCTCATTGTTGGCTTAGGAGCTCATTAATCCAGTGATGTCAAACCCAAAATCTTCAAAAGATGCACAAATTTCACTTGCCCTATACTTGTGGCATGCAAGAAATCGCCTCGTTGGATGATATCAACCCCCTCTCTCTCTCCCCTCATCTGCGGTTCTCGTCTTTGCTTGTCAATTGGATTTTTGCCCTAATTTCGAAACGCTGGCTCTCTCTCCCTCCCTCTCTCCTTTCCCAACTCCTTTTTCAAAATTTCTTCCGGTATTGGATGACATTTAACTGGAGGGAATGTTTTTTTTTTGGGGGCAATGCTGGCCCTGCCCTATGGTAAGAAGCGATCCTGTGCCCGGCACGTGTTCATCGGAAGGTGCTTATTGTCGCCATTGCCGGCGACGAGGTGAGGGCCGAGTTTCATTTGAAATACAGTGATCTGCTTAGGGCGATATTTAGAGACAAGTGACACTATGGGGCTTTTCTCGAGAAAATGCATCCAATCTATGGTAGACTCTGGACACGAGAGATTGGAAAGAGTGAATGTGACTCACCAAGAAGTCGCCACCAATTTCGGTTGTACTTACACAGTGCCGTTTGGCGTCTGTATCGGATTTTTTTCCGCACAAAATCTCATATCGTGACTCTCGACAGAACAGTGCGCATACCGTTGCCAGTACCGTAATCGAAGCATCTTATTCACAGCGCATGTTCGAAATCTAAAGGTATCTTAAAAAGTTAAATGGAGTAACCTCCTTCGAAAACAGTCAAGAAGTTACCCAAGTTAAACGAGGTTTATCTCTCCGTAAGAAATCGCCACCTGTTTTGGTTAGGGGTGAGCATGATGGACCGCCCAAACCGGGACCGGACCGGATTTTTTTTTTGCTCAGAAAATATATTTATTTATTTACTTTTTAAAAATTTATGAAAAAAATAGAAATCATTTTTATCTGTTTACCTAGAAAGCACTGCAGGGAAGATTTTATTGGTATGTCATTGGTACATCATGTGCGATGAAGGTCCTGTGTATATCTCTGCTTCCTTACATTGGATATCTGGACATTGTGGAATCACAGCAGTACATTGAAAAACTTGGTTATTCTGTTTGGTCAATGTTGTTTGCTGAAAGCTTGATCTTTGACCTACCTAATTCAGTAGAAGCACCCTGAAAAACTTCTTTATTTGATCAGTAGCACTAGAGAGAACACGGAGGTAGGTCTGGTTTTTTCATTTAGTAATTGTTTCGTGATTGTTAAGTATTTTGTTAAGAATTTTGGACACTATAGCCATTGTTGGTTGAATAAAGTTGGTTTCATTGGAATCGGACCGGACCGGACCGGATCGATTCTCTGTCCGGGCCACTGGCCCAAGATTAGCTGATCGGTCCCTCGGTCCGAGAACTGAACCGATTTTCCCGGTCAGGTCCGGTTCTTGGTGGGGCCGACCGGATCGGGAACCGCTCATCCCTAATTTTGGTTGTACTCACAAAGTGCCATTTGATGTCCGTATCGAATTTTTTTCTCTGGCAAAAACCTAGGGTCGTGACTCTGGACAGAATAGTGCTTATACCACTGTCGGTATTGTAATCGAGTATTCTACACACGATCCATGTTCGAAATCTCCGATACCTTAAAAAGTTTATATTTTTCGTTTTGGGTCGAAAACCTTAAAAGTTAGATGGGACGGGCAACCTTTCTTAGTTTACCTAGGTTAAACGAGGTTGTGCACTACAAAACCAAACACACATGACCCCCTTTCCAAGTAAAGGAAAGAGAAACAGTAAAAATCTTGACCAAACGCACGCCAACTATAAACCCTGCAAGGAGCAAACTTTAACCCATCTCTCTCTCTCTCTCTCTCTCTCTCTCTCTTCCCTCCGAGGTGGAGCGATATCAACTCAGGTTGCAACTCACGCTGTCAGGTCAGACCAGACCAGACCAGACTACCCAAAGGGAATTACTGACCCCCAGAAGGCTTTGAATTCACCAATCTGTGTTCAGTCCACAGGGGAAGAGAGAATCTCCGAGAGAGAGAGGCAGGGGCAGGATGAAGGTGAAGAGTGGAGGTAAGAAAAAGAACGTGGCAGCGTCAAGCGAAGGCCTTGAGGACGACCCCACGACCCCCGTCGCTAACGGCGGCGGCGGCGGCGGCGGCGGTAAGCGCTGCGGCTCCCGATGCCCGTCGTTTGATTTTTCGCGATGTGGGTTTTCGCTTGGCATTGACCCCACCCCCGGTTTGTCTGTGTAACCAGAAGCGGAAGGAGGCCCTCTCGAGGAGAAGGAGGTGGAGGAGGCCGAGGAAGGGGACGAAGCCGACGAGGACGAGGACGAGGACGAGGACGAGGACGACGCCGAGGGGGACGGTGATGAGGAAGGAGGTGAGCGCCCGAAGCTGGACGAGGGCTTCTACGAGATCGAGGCGGTCCGCCGCAAGAGGGTTCGCAAGGTCGTTGTGTTTTCCGTGTCCCTTGACTTTTTATTTTTCCCATTGTGTTCGAGACCGCGTTTTTCGCTTCTGGGTGCGTCGTTACTGTCTTGTCGGTTCTTGGGTCATGGTAAAAGATCAATCTTTACGAGTAATGGCGGTGGGTTTTTCTTTGCAAAGTCGTGAATGGGGCTGTTTGGATTTCTTTTGCCCAAGTGTTTTGTTTAATCGTGTTTTCGTGACACTGATTGTGCTGGTTTTTATGGGACTGATGCTCATTACGATGGATATGTCGCGGACGGGCAGGGGCAAGTTCAGTATCTCATCAAATGGTCAGTGCGCTCGGCTTTGGCTTAGTTACATTATGATTGTACTGCCCGGCAGACTCTTTTTTGTGCTGATTATGTACTCGGTTGCTGAGATCTCATGCCTGATGACTCTGTTGACGTCTTTTGCTTAATAGGCGTGGCTGGCCAGAGACAGCCAATACCTGGGAACCCGTAGAGAATCTCATGTCATGTTCTGATGTTATTGAAGCATTTGAAGAGAGGTAGTCTTCTTGTTTTTTCGCCGAAATATTCATGCTTATTTAAGAAGCTGCTCCAATTGGCACTAATGGCTTTTGAAAGAAAGGATATTCGTATGTGGTATATGATCGTTTCTTTTCATTCTCAATTTATGAAGATGATGAATTTGGAGGAAAGGTTGCATATCTTGCTATCTTTTATCTAGCTACTGAATACCTAAACTTAAATTAAGAAAAACCAATTTTGCATGGATTCCTATATGCCCTTATATTCATAGATATGCTGTGCCTTATGTTTTGGTTTTTGTAGTTTGAGGTCCGGAAAGCAGAGATCTTCTCGTAAGCGCAAACGCAAGTATGGGGCTCCTCATGCCCAAGCCAAAAAAAAGCCACAGAGTCAGCAGCACCGAGCCCCTTCTGCAGCTTATAGTTCGGGGGGTGCTGAGACTAGCTCTATTGATGAGCCTCTTACTTCTTCTGCCCCTAAAATCTTAAGCTTTGCAGATCTTTCTAACCCTACCCAAGCCGTGGGCTCTGGATGTAATGGAGAGATTAACTTGGATATGAATGGATTTGAAACAGACCAGCAAGCGGCTCAAAATGGACTGGCACATGGTCTTCAGCAACCTGTCCAAGGAGAAGAAGAACCTGAGTATGATCCCAAGCTTAGTGAACTTAGGGCGACAGCGTGTTCCAATGGTGTTGATAAGGATAATCTTGCAGTAAATTTCCGAGAATCCAAGGGTTTTGGAAGTACTGGCCCCACAATTGGGGTGCACAAAAGTGATTCACTTGATCCAGGCCAAAGCAATCGCAATACAGGAGCTAAGAGACGAAAATCTGGTTCTGTGAAGAGGTTTAAGCAAGAACCGGCCTCAGGTGGTTCAGCTGCAGAAAATGCCATTTGTAGCTCTGAACAACAGGGTTTTGGAAATCCTGACTTCTCAAGAAATGAATCTAGTCTAATTAAGAGCAGTTCCAACAGTGCTCCTGTTATAACCAAGATTATAAAGCCCATAGGCTTTTCAGCTTCTGTGTCAAACAACATTCAGGATGTGTCAGTAACCTTCATGGTGATGAGGTTTGTACTGAAACTTTCATCTCTCTCTCAGTCCAGTTTACTGTGTAGTGTGGCACTCCCTTGATAGTCGAAGACATTATTTTAGTTGAGTACAAGTATCTGCTTAGTTAAATTAGTTATAAAAAGCAATCTGAAGGATGGTTAGGTTCTATAAACTGATTAAAGATCTGTGTTTGTGATGTTACAAACAATCGTTTTATCATATTTGGTCCATCGTTTAGGCAATTTCTTTTTGCTACTTGAGTGCGGTGCTGACTAGTGTAGGAGTTCTGATGCCTTAAATAGCGGGTCGTACGGTAGAGAATAATGATTCATTTGTTGATTTGAGTCATTCTTCATTAGAATTGATGCTGATGACTTTTTATGTTTCTACACCTGCATCAATGGTGGGATGATGTTATATAGTGCAGATGTTAGCTGCAGGCTTTAAAATTTTATGATAAAAGAGTAGATTTCTATGTTTTGGCTCTGCTTGCAATACCTGAGGATGTTTTAATATTAGCTTCTAAAATTGACTCAAGCATGTTTCATTGGGCTTGTCTCACATTTTATTGTCACCATTCTGTCTTCACAATTCCTGTTTCACTATTTATGTCCTCAGCATGGTACTCAAGTTCGTTTAACCATGCCTCCCATCATGTACTTTTGGTCTTGAGGAGCACATACACATATATGTATTTTAAGTCATTCTCTATAATAGGGAGGGGAATGTCAAACCTCAAATTAGTTGAGTAGGATCCTCAGCATTTGCTTCATCGGCTTTTACCAATTTTTCGCAGCTCTTTGTATTCTTAGTGTTAGTTTTATAGAATTTGTCTCTTATAGTTGGCACTCTACTGCGGCAGTCTCGAATATTATGGACTTGAACGTGCCCAACCTAACAGAGACTTTTACACCTAACTCTTTATTTTAATCATCTTTAATATACGGGTTTGACACTTTGACTTAATACATCTTTGTGCGCCCCCCTGCAGTGTATGCTTGTATCTAATTCCATGTCAGTGTGCTCTGTACGTATTCCCGAAAGTTAGTCTTGGATTTATAAAGGTACCTGTATATCAGAAAATTATAGCAGAATCCTATTAATTAAATATGATAATTAGAGAGACCAGTCACTATACTTAGTGGACATGAGGCACCGAGTCGCCTTAACCAGGTCTTTCCCAAATTGTCTCAGAAATTTAGTTTCATTGAATTTTGTCTATATTATCATCCTAAACCATCCATATGAAGAATTAAACTAGATGGCGTAAACAGGATTTATATAGCCGACTATACTTAGTGGGATAAGGCTTAGTTTGTTGTCTGTCTGTTTGATTGTTGCATCCTTCATCATAATTATCTTTAGACAATTAAAATACCTGAAGAAATTGAACCTGCAATATCTCCTCCTCTTCGACCTTTCTTTTTATGAACATCTGTCCTCTGTGGGAGAAGAGATTACTATCTTCTCGCGACTAGTTCTGTCCACGGAGTCCTTTGACTAGATATTTCTGTTGTCCATGATGAGGTGACATGCCGTTCCAATTTGCATCTTTCAAGGAGAAAACCTCTTCGATAAGTCCAAACCTTGTGTTGGGCCCAACTGATGGAGGAAGTAACTTGTCGCTGTGATTTATTTATTTATTTTTCCTGTGTAGCTTGTCACTGTGATTACTTATGTGTGACGAGCCGAACATCTTTGACTTGGTGCTTCTCCTTTGCTTAGTAAAATGCAAGGTTCATTAGTAGGCCAATGCTGACAAGAAGAGGAAAGTGAGGGCATATTAATAATTAACAAGGTAGTTCTTTTTGCTTGTAAAGTTGATAAGCTGATACAAATGGAGATAGTACGCTGAAACAATTTCATAGTCTTGTCACACCAATCAAACATCTGACTATTTGTAGATTTCAAAACTCTAGTCTTGGATTCTGAAGTGGTTTCACATTATGTAACGCTTGTATATATTCTCGCATGTCAAGGATTTGTTTCTGCTTTTCAACCAGGTTTCTTGGAAAACTTTGTTTTTTCAAATTCTATGCTGAAGTAGATAAAAATGGATGTTCCCGATTCTTGTTCGGTTATAAGAAATATTATGGTGTTGCTGAGAGTAGGTTATGCTAATCTTGTGTTTGCTTGTGTGGGTGTGGATGTGTATGTCTGCGTTTGGGAAGATCTTTGCAATGCCCTTTGGACCTCTATGTGTATGGTGAGATTTAAAGCTGCTACAATTGGATTTTTATTTACTATATCACTAAGAGGTCGTTGTTTTGGGGGCATAAATCTGTGCATGCACGAGAATGTGGGAAAGTTTGGGTGCACGTGCATTTGCGTGCATGTCCATGTGTATGTGCATGTTTGTAATTGCATGTGTTTCATTGTTGGTGCATAGAGGGGTGCTTTTCCATTATATGTGGTTGAGTGTGTGCTGGCACGCTCTCATGTTGTATGCACTAATTAAGTAACAAAAAGATCTATTTGTCACAAGAGGATTATCTATGGACTATTTATCAGAGAGAAAACAAGCAAAGTCTATCTAATGTGAACCAAATGACTAAATGTCCGCCTCTCTTGAGGATTTATACATGAGGTCCTATATATCTGCTGATAATTGTTGGCCACTGATTTTTCTGCTGTTTGTTTATGGCTTAAAACTCCATAAGTGATTCTTTGCATTTTTATAATGTGAAGGACCTATTAAGCTGTTTTGAAAAGTTTTGATCTAGTTCATCTCCATGACTAATTCAAGCCTCAATCTATGGCGATTTAATGGCCTTTCGATGTATAAGTAATTCACTTTTGATTTGCTCCTTTATACTGGAATGTCCTCTTTACTGGCTACTTCCTCTGAATCTTGGACCCATTAGTTATCCTTACTTCCTACTTAATTTTTCAATTATGAGGTTCCGTTACAACCACTCAGCCCAGCCGACTACTGGTATGTGAGAAACTGCAATTTCTATTTTGTCTTCTGCAATGGGAAAATAGTTTGCTTTGCCATTTTACTGGTGTTGCCACCCATTAGTTATTCTTGCTGCCCTTCGATTTATATTTAGTTTTTCATTAAAGGAAGCCTGTGATTCTTCTCTGCATTCTGCTTTTGTTATCTTTTAGACAAGACTGCTGTTTCTTATTGGATTAACTTGTATATATGTCTTCTTATCTCCTGCCACTGGACAGTGTTGAGGAGACTGGTATTGCTTGTTTGCGTAGAAAGAGGGCCATATTTTCCTTCATTCTTGATTGAAGAAACTTCATTCAATCAGTCTTCTAATGGGTGTGTTACAAGTATGGACATCACCTATATTTATTTCCAGTTAAATTTGTGTGTGGGTGACTGCATCTATAACTACAATTCGAAGCTCTGGTTGGAGGAAGTTTCCTAAAGCTGGGAATGGAGGAAAACATAGCCATAAAAAATCTAAAGAGGGTAAACATGGGGATCATTAAGTTTGTGATGTTGGCCATTGTGAGGATATATTGTTGGGTCGAAAGTTGTTTTTCTTGTTCGTCATTGCTTAGTGTTTCAGTTAATGAGCTTATTACACCCTTTGCCCCCAGATGTTAGTTTAAAAACCATTGGCCTGACGAGGTGAAATGAGAGTTCAATTTTGTTGAACTGGAGATTTGTATGTTGTATTTGTGATGTTACATTTGCCTCTTTGTCCGTAAAGGACTAATGCGTTGCTTGCTTCGCATTCATGTTTGGTTTTCTTTACCCTCAACACTCTAATTAATTGAACTTGTTCATTTTACCGTGTAGGTCCGATGGGAAAGAAGTGATGGTCGATAACCGGTTTTTGAAGGAGAATTGCCCTCTTCTGGTATTGCCACTTACTGCATTTGAGTATTACTTCATTTGCTCTCCTGGTGATTGATGATTTCAATGCTTTTGTTTGCAGCTGATCGACTTCTATGAGCAACATCTTCGCTACAGTCCGACGTCATGATTGAGTAGAGCTGTATATGGTGAGTTTTAAGCTATTCAGGCGATGTACATGCGAGGCACTGTGGTGCAGGACAGGCAAAGGTATTTGTAATGAGAAAGACTATTTGCTGTGGAAATTCGACTTGAGTTTGTTGTGAACTTATTTTGTTAGATCCTACTATGTCTCTCTTATTGTCGTTAGCAGAACTGATTGCACTCTGACCATCTCTGTATCATAATCTATAGGAGTCTCAGGATTTAGATGATCTAGTGTCTTAATGACTTGAGCTTTTTACCATTTCGGCTTTGCGATTTCATTTACCCTCTTTCTCTCTCTCTCTCCCTTGTGTCGAGTGCATGCGCATGGTCTGCTGCTGCTACATGGTTGGCCATAGTTGTGCACGTTCATCTGTTTTGATCAACCTTCTATTATTCTATCCTTTCTATTCAGAAGCAACAGTAAACAAATGAACTAAACAAATGCGTGCAAGGATTTGATTCTTCATGGTGTTGAGAATGTGATGCATGCATGTCTCTTAAACAAATCGAACTGCAAAAAACAAACACAATCCTGATCCGGGAGGCGTTGGAATAGGCCAACCAACTTGGTACTTTTCAGAATATGCCCTCCCCGGTTTGCAGTAGGCTTTTTAACTTGCCAATGTTAAAACGCATCTTGTTCAGAGAGAGAGAGAGATCGAGAGAGAGAGAGAGAGAGAGAGAGAGATGAACAATGGAGGGCCATCACCTCTGGTGCCTTCTTTGCTGGTGGGTGCATTTGGGCTGTACCATCAAGGGTCTACCGTGGTTTCCTACCTGAGGCTCGCGGTGGACATCCTGGAGCAGCTGTTCGGAGAGGGCGAGGAAGAAGAAGAAGAAGATGGCGGCGGCGGCGACGACGGTCCGGCTCCTCTGAAAACGATGTTCCTCGCTCTCTTGCTGATTGTCCTCGCGCTCGCGCTGTTAGTGCTCATGCAAGTGGTTGTCATCATCTACAGGCAGTCGCATGCTGCGATTCGGCGGATTGGCAGCCCCAGCCATGTCGTGGAAGGCTTCGGGTGGGGAACTCTGCTTCTTGTCATCCTGTTCATCGCGTTGTGTAATTTGTTGGGAGGCGAGTAGATTTGGAACCTTAAAAGCAATGCCATTATATGTGGTGATGTGTATGAACTTTCGTCTAAAATAGAATTTTCACTTCCTCTCAAACCAGACTTCGAAGAAGAACGATAATTTTTCCAACTTATGTCAAATGTTCCAAGAAATAACCTATTTATTCTCATAATCCCCAGAGAACAACAACAAAGTTTCTTGCTTGCTTCATCTTTTTCTTGCAGCAGAGTTTTATATGTAGATTTTGTTAGGAGTATCACCTCCGCGAAAATGTCTGATGGCACATCGTATAACAACACAGATATGTAAGAGGACAAAAATTCATCAAACAAGAAATTACACATTCACGTTGTGTCGAAACAGGCTCTACTCATGTATGATTAGTCCTCCTTTGAGAACACTTTGACATCTTGTCGTATGATGTTGCTGATATTTCGAGATGACACAAATTAAAATTACCGGCGAATTATTATTGGGTTCACTTCTGGAGTAAATAAAATATTTACACCTTCGTGACTATGGAATAATCTCATTTTCTAAAGTCTTGAAAGCTAGGGTTGAACTACTACTTAAATACTGGTAATTTACATTTGAAAGCTGCAGTAGCTCAAAATTAGGTGAGGCAACTTCCGAAAAGTAGTTGTAATCTTTTAGGTGTAACAATTGATGAGATGTTTGCCAAATTAACCGGTCCCTAAAAATGTTTCATCAAATTGGCACATGCCTTTCTCATGAAGTAATTGTGCACTCTAGTACATCAAATTGTGGTGATTGTAACATCCAAGGGCCAACCTCGATCTCTCCTTGTTCTCCGACGAGTTGAAAGAAACGAATTGGATGCCGAGGTGCACTCAAGTGCTTGGATCAAGTGCCGGCGAGTTGAGATCCGAGGCTCATGCTTGATCTGAGCCCCGAGTCCGGGGCACGGTGAGGACAAGGGATGGAACTTGGAGGAGAGCGGGACGGCGCGAGAGGCCCAGTCGGCAGAGGCAGTGGCTGACAGCGGGGACGGTGGGTGGTGGATTTGGGTTGAGAGTTTGAGCGTGTGGGTTAGGTGAGGCTAGAATTTTCAGGCTTTTACCCAAATTGAAGGATAAATTAGGTCATTTTAGTGACATCGAAACACGTATCTTGTGTTGAAAAAAGAGGCTTTGCTTTCTATCGTGGCCTGAAAAATCAGGCATGTTTTTTGATTTCCTTAATTAAGTAAAAAAAAGATTAATCGCCTCCCAATCACATAAATAAAAAAATCATCTCCAAGGCTTATACAGGTCGTTAGACGTTAGTTCTTGTCGTCGCTGCAACGGAAATCGTAATTTGAAAATCACAAAAAAAATTAGTAAAATCAAGCAACTGCGGAATATGGAATATGGTAACAATTGCCTAATGATGAAAAACCATTCTATAAGAATTTAGAAATCGATAACAATCACTAATGTCACGAGTCGTGAGAATTTGTCATCTATTGAAAACCAAAATATACCTTCAAAATCATACTAACAAATGGTCTGAAAAGGAATTCACACGTCTTCTTTTAATCGGGTATTTCTCTCTTGTAATGTTTCCATCACTTGTCAATCTTATAAAGTGGAAAAAATTAAGAACTTTTACAAATCGCAATAGTGTAAGTTTACATATTGTAATTGACCTTAGGAAAAAAGAAATACATGTAAACTCCATTTCACTACAGATTACCTGCTAATTAGTCTTTCCACTAACCATATTCCCGTGAATGATTAAGGCGGATTAAAATCACTATCAACCCTTGATTCACATAATCTCATTATCATAGTTTTCTTTACTTAATTGGTCTCTAAAACACTTTATGAAACAATTCCACAATATATAAGTCAACATCAGTAGCATCAAACATGCTAGTAATGGAAATATTTAAAAAGTCGAGCAGTATCAGCAAATCGTGCTAAAACAACATTTGAACCGATCAACAGGTGCTGTTTCAGTGGATCTTGTTCAGTGCATTTACATGTTACAGTGCATCAGACACCCGATGATAGAGCAGGTTACTCACCATCCTATACAGTAGCAGCAACACAGTTGCAGGCCGTAATAGTGTAATGCTCAATCACGCCTTCTGAAAATCATAACTCTCTATTAAAATGTTTCACGCATGACCCGAAGAATATGATCAAGAGCTCCTCCTCTTCATTTTGTAAGACACTTACTATTTTCCTAAGTACCGAGAAATTTCAAGAACTGCATACGGTCGGTAGTCTCTTAAATCCCAGACCATGACTTTCACAAGCGGCATACACATTTTCTCCTATCTAAGCATTTAAAGTGACTGTATCTGCCAAAAGCGCAAAGAATGCGAATGAGACTGAATATAGCTTTGATGTGCAGGAGTGTGGCCAGTAAGACTGATGCATATATAGCAGTAACGATATACCTACCTGCAATGCAAGCATTAATCTTCAGTCGAATCGTGGCCATGATAGCCTCATCAAATTGCACTGCAGTAAAGAAACCAAAAAAAGAGGACGTGCTCCAAAACCTTCTTCACAGCATTTATCTACACCTCAGCTCAAGATCCCAAGAGCAAGAGCATAGCCTTAACACATTAGGAGTTTGAAGACCAAGTACATTATATGCAACGACACAAACTGGTCCTACGAGAATCGAGAAGGCATCACCCACTTTCCATCGATCCAATCCTGATGAGGACGAAGCTCCGAGTGGTGAAACTCCATCCTATCTTCAGTGCCCTCAAAATAAACCCGATACCGCATCCCGTCGAGAACCCTCTCAACGATGCCCTCCCACCACCCTTCATTGTACAAGGCATTGACTCTTGCCTTCCGTTCGTAAGGGTCGACCACGAAGGTCTCCGGCGGGTACGGCCTCAGGTGACTCGTGGCGACCTGCTCCCTCAAGTACTCCGAATTATTATCCTCCGCTCTGAGGGTTTGGTACTCGATAAGGAACTGATTTCTCGCTGCCTTGTTGATTATAGTGGCTGCGAACCAAGCACCTTGGAGTCCATCTTCGTCACTTCTCACCTCGACCAGCATTCCCTTGGTGAACACTCCCTTCGCTGTTCGGCAGAAGTCGCCAGATTTCTCTTCCATTGTCGAGGTCACTTCCTGCAATATCCAATAACTGAGATAAGCATGTGAAGTTCTTGGAGACTTCGTCATTTCCGTGCAAACAAGACCATACACAGATTGCAAAGCATGTTACCTATCATCTACAGCATAAAGTCTACGAAATTGCATCTTATATACAATCAACTACGAGAATGGGAAAACATCGCCATTGCGTCGACGTAGGCATTCTTTGCTAATACCTATTCTTCCTCTCTCAATAAATTGAGGATCCACTAATCTCAAGTGGATTGTATGTCTGCACTTCACCGAACAAAAGGATCGCCACTCGCCACTCGCCACTACCTTTCAATTGACATAACAGTGTCACAAGGCATTCGAATTACACAAAGGAATGAGAAAGCCTAAATAGTATATTGAATTAGGCCTTCACAGTCACTAATATATAAATACTTTGAAATCAATCAGAACTTTCAGGGACCATAAGAAACCACAGCAAAGCTAACAAAGTAAGGGGCTTTAGGAAATAAGGGAGAAAAAGCATTCCAATTCATTCGAATTCTGGCAAGAATTTACCGAGATTATCATCTCAAATCTTCATACGCTAATCACGACTAGACAAAGAATTCACTCCCAGTAGCGAGGCTTTCAAGAAACGTAAATTGAAACCGAACTAGAAAACCTAACCGACAACCTACCTCATCGTCGTCGCCATCACCATCTTCCCCCTCGGCTTCGAACGGCGGGACCCAATTCCCGTTGACCCACTCGCGGTGGAGCCGCAGCTCCGCCGCGTCGAACCGGTACTCCTGCTTCACGCACCGGAAGTACACCATGTACCGCGCGCTCTTCAGTTCCTTGGTGATCACGCCCTCCCACCAACCCCCGTTCAAGAACGCGTCCACGACGTCGCCGAGGCGGAGGCACCGGCGGCCGGTTCCGGCGGGCGGCGGGCTCGGCCTCAGGAGGCCGACGGAGACCTCCTCGCGGTAGGGCCTGGAGGAGGGGCGGCGGCCACCGGCGTCGCCGCCGCCGCCGCCGCCGCTGCTCTGGGCGACTAGGGTTTTGTACTCGACCAGGAAGGCGTGGGGGTTGCGGGACGACGGGGCGACGACCCGTCCGGGGAAGAGGGTCCCCCGGAGGCGGTGGATGGGGCTCGTGATCTCCACCTCCGCTCCGGGGCGGAAGCGTGGATGCGCCATGATCTCCCGGGAGGAGCGACGCTTCACGTCCCGCTCATACATACCATGAAAGCAACGTAGAAAGAGAGAGAGAGAGAGAGAGTGACGTAGGGTTTGGTACTGCGATGCCAAGAATGGTATTTTTTTTATGGTATTATTAATAAGGAAACTTGATCTTAAAAAGGAAACGATTTCACATTTCATCCGTGAAGCTTTTACACACGTTAATAAACAGGTGTAACGACGCGTATTGTTATGAACTTTAGTTTAATGTACAATTTGATTTCCGAACTTTTAATTTGTTCAATATAATCCCTGAACTTTAGTCAAATGTACAGTGTGATCCCTGGACTTTTGGCACATGTTCAATTTAGTCCCTGAACTATATGAAAATGTTCAATATTGTCCTAAAGTTCATGGACTAAATTGAATATGTACCAAAAGTTCAGGAACCACACTACACATTTGACTAAAGTTCAGGGATCATATTGAACAAATTGAAAGTTTAGGGACCACATTGCATATTAAGTCGAAGTTCATGAACCATTCGTATAATTTTCCCTAATAAATATATAATATGATTTTAATGAAATTTTTAGGTTTTAACTTAATCCTACAAGATTAAACATGTAGAGGGAGCGATCAGTGAGTACAAAATTAGGGGTTGTGTGAGTGCAAGTTCGTTTGCAATTTGAGCTTTTTCATGATAGGTTAATTCTAAAAGAATAGGGGTTGTGTATAGTGTTGAAAATTATTCTAATGATTGTAGGAGGGAGGTAAAGTAGAGGAGGATGATGACCAGGCAGCTTTCAGGCATGATGTGGCAATAATTTAGGAAATAATTTTGACAGAGATCTATTTTGGGAATTACCCTTCTAAATTTATCCATTTTGGAAAAAAAAGTAAAAAAAAATCGAGATAGTCATGTCTTTTTAGATAGCATAAAATGTCAAAAAATCCTTTTCTAATTGATTAATCAAATTTACTATACCAACATTTAACATGATAATCTAATTGCCATAATCTCTAGGGTTTACCCAAATATTTTTCTGGCGTTTTCTTTCTTTCTTTCTTTCATTTTTCGTTAAAGGGTGTAGTAGTAAAGTAACATTCAAACCCTTTTGATATGATAACAAACGTGCTAACCCACAGAGATTGCCTTAAAAATAATAGAGTACCTTACAACGTCCATGCCAGGAACTTGCCATGTCCATTTGCAAGAAGGTCTCATAAGGTTGCCTCTATGTCCAAACCCCGACCACGAAAGTAGCCAGCACAAGTAGGAGTACTCCCGGCCGTGTCTGGACCGGGCTCGATGAGTTCAATCAGATCAAAGGAGATGCATCTAGGCGAAGAGCTCGGTCTCTGGCGAGATCGGCAAAAAACCCTAGCTTCTCCGACAGGAGTTTGATCGTTGGGGAAGACGGTCTTGCCAACGAACCCGTCCCTGGTGTTCAAAAATGCACTGAGGGTGTAAAGATTAGAGAATGACAAGCACTCTCACATTCTGGTGAATCATGCCCTTTTCCCCTCCCAAACAGTTTGATGCGTTGGAAATAATGTTCAATCCAACCCTGTCTTATGTACGAACTCGACTCCTCTCAATCAATTAGGTTTATCAACTGTCTAATAAATCTATAAAGTTGTCAATCCACTTATTTGAAAGATTACAATGAGATTGAAAATCGAAAAAAAAGAGGGAAAAGCATGTATCCAATTTTATACAGAACTTTCTTTTCTTTAGGTAGCTTGACCTCCTACTTCAAAAAGAGAAAATTAGAGAAGTCTGGTTTGGAAAATAGCTTCGAAAGAGATTTATTTTGGAAAAAAGATCGACTATTTCTCCAAAAAAGCAGAGTTTTTCGCTTAAGAATATAAGTACTGTTGAACACATAATATCTTGTTTTTGCGGATAAGAAGCATCACACTTGGTCCCGTTATATTTCACTTGCATCACGATTCTCCTCTTTACACATGCCCTGGTAACTTGTCAAGAGGTACTTCTCGACATTCCCCGACATAGGTGTGGCCTGGTTCCTGCTAAGACCGGATCCAAGGCGGTTCTAGTGGACTCCGGGTGGGCTGTAATGTCGGCTTTGCATTGGACTCGGGTTGCTCCTACACTGATGGACTCGCCTATGGTTAGAGGTAAGTGTCATCATCACCCAATTTCTCCCATACCCATGTAGGTTGTTCTCGGCCAGGAAGCTTTCGACTTGTGACATAAGGATGTTAATCGATTATGGGATGGTGCGTGATCTGAGAGCACGTTTCCTTATCTTTCTTTCCCGAGGATTGTGAGGTTCATAACGAGGTGAAGAACGATATACTGTGAAGCTCTTTGGGCGAGAATTGAAGAGGACAGGGAGCCAATTATTTTAAATTTTTTTGTCAAAATTGCATTCTTTTGTTTTGCTTTTGTTACACATTTCTTCTTGTACGATTCAAAGATCTTCACAAGATATTAGATGTTGATGTCCAGTTTGTGAGCCATTGAAAACACATCCTACATACCGATCAATTTAGACTTTTCTCCCACGCAACTACTAGCGACATTTTTCACCTCATAATATGATATGCTCTTAATGAGAAATAAGATACTTCATTAATCGATGTAATAACTAACAATTTAATAGATCATTATTAAGTTAATATGATCACCGGAGTAAACCGAGCAACGATACATCATCAAAATCAATTGGACCAAAGAGTAAAACGTGATGCTGTGCAATGTTGGACGTGCAACTTCAACCCATATGAGAATCTGAACAGAAATTGAAGAAGATGCAGGCTTTGCTCATAGGCCAAATTTTGATCTAAATTCCAGCAGACCAAGCCCAGAAAATGCAAATCATGGACCACCGGACTTGAGCCTAGTAACAAATGAAGGGATTAAGGAAATTTGACATAGGAGGGGGTGACCGGAATCTAATTCCGTTGGTGTTATTGATCCCTGAACTATCGCTACTTATCGATCTCGTCATGATTTTGATAGGACTGACTTGAAAGAAAGAAAGGGTATGTAATTGAAGGACCTAATTGTCCAAGAAAAAGAAAGTTGATGGATCAAATTGATTAATTTGCCATAGTTTACGGATCTCATTGCTTTTACCCCCACACGTGAACAAACAGAAAAGCAAATAACCGGGTCTCTATTGGGAAATGGGCTTTGCGAAGATATGATTTGCCCTAAGTAGAGTTAAAGCTGATGCTAAATTGCATCTTTTTACAGCAATGGTAAGTCCAAAGTGATGTGGCCCTCATCAAAACATTCATCTCAAACGATGATCAAGCTAGCTGAGAACGCGATGGCGTCGTCTTAGATGGTTACTTATCCTAATATGAAAGAGGACTTCTATCGGCCAACGGACGGTAAGAAAGTCAATCGAATTCATTTATAAATTACTACAAACTCGCGCAGAAGCATGTATCTGCGAAGCACGCAGTATGCATAATCTCTACTAAGACTCAAAAGTAGAAGGACCAATCTGTGCAGGCATACCCGATGTTTTACATCCAATTTGGTTAGAAGAAACAATCTGTTCAGGCATATCTGATCCTCTACATCTAATTTGCTGACTATGTGGTTTCATTATGTGGTTCTCTTTCTGTCAAGTAGCTAGGACTTCCACTTGTTTCAGGGAGACATTCACTCATTGATGAGAGCAATTGCTCTATTAGATGTACAACCCAACTATCGTCAAGATTTCACGTGTCCATCTCCGACCATTGACCTCATATCATTATGTGTCTAAAGTTCATTGGAGTGATAGCCTTTTCCATAACCCACAAGGACTTATCTTGATTTCTATCTTGCATAGTGCGGCTTAGTCCTTATTGCACCACCTAATTTATTGATAGCGAAAATATCTGCCATACCGAGAATTACAGCTTTGCGATAGCAGATGCAGGCAAATTTGATCTGGCAGGAAGCTTTAGATCCTCCCAGTCTTCATCATCCACCTTCGAGAAATACTTGTCTACCATCTTTTCACTGACAAGCTCCAATCTAGGAGGCTCCCACTACAAATGAGAAGGATGAAAATCATAGTAAAGAAACTCATGACAAGGAAATTAGGAGAATTGACACAATACCGGAAAATGGAAAAAGGACGCATGCTAAACCTTTGGATTCTTATCCTTGTCCAAGAGTAAGGCTCTGCAACCCTGCATTACACGGACAAGTGTCACTTTATCACCTAAATTCAAATGAAACTATACAACAATCATCTAATTAATCACAGAACCTCAACAAAGTCCTTGCTGACTTCGCCTTGCATTACATGGCAAACCATTCTGTATTCTCGTACAAGGCACTGGCCAATTCCTTGTAGTCGACCTTCTCTTATCTGCAATTGCCGGACCAATTCTTAGAAGTTTGACCATTTCACAATTTTTAAACAGGTCACTTGTCTAAGCTAAATTCCCACTCATCTCTACTATCAATGAAGGGAACTGTGCAACTTAATTAACATTAGCAATTAAATGCTCTTTTAGAACAAATTACGTGATTGTACATAATCAAGGCACTTAGACCTTTATAAAACGATAGCAAATGGAATTCTACAATTGCACACTGACTCAAGTTGTCAGTGAGCAGATACTGCACACTGACCTTACTTCTCAGCCCTACTATAAATATTTGCTATAACTTTGTTCATCCATGCTATCACAGGTCTTTAAGTGAATTTGTAAATGACTTCTCTACGTTTTAATCAATACTGGTGGCCATTATCCAGGTCAGAGACACTAATGCACAAGTGTCGTTATAGTCATATGCCTGCACCTCTAAATTTAAATCAAGCACACAGTTGTCATGATATCTATCCCAGTAGGTGATCTGAGGCATAAAGAGAAGAAAAGCAAATCTCGGTTTTCCAGTAGAATAATGATGCCGTTCCCTTTAGCTGACATTCCAACAAGAAGTTGGTTGGCACATCTTAGATGGAAATTATTCGAACATATTTACAATTCACATAATCTATAAATTATCAGTTGTGTCAAAAAATGCACTGCTGATATTTCATCAAAAGATTCAGCAACCTCACCGATCTAAGAGAAATTTTAAGGCTTGTTGGTGATGCTTTCTTCAGTGACTGAAGTGAGGCATGGATCCA